CAAACCATTTATCATACACTTGGTAATTCTTCTGTGTAGAGCGTTTGGCATTCCCTAAGTAGCATATATCGAAATTTTCCTCATTAAGGCATATCAAAAGAAGATCTTTCTTATTAAAATGATATGGATATATAAGGGGAAGGCATTAATATTGAGTAATCAGTTGGACAAATAAAGATTTGTTGCCATGTCTCAGATTAAGTTTCTGAGGTATGCTTTTATAAACAAGTCATCTATAGACAAATGAATGAGCTAAGATTCATGACTCGATACAATTATTGGAAACATATTTATTAAATCGTTTCATAGGACTTAGGAATGACTATCATCATCAGGTCCTCGGCCCATGTCTTGACAGCATGGACACCCATTGGATACTATGCGAACTAAGTGCTAAGCCAAGCCTAATCATCTAGAAACACTACACTCTGTTACCAAACATCATCCAATCCGACCATAAAGTTATCTTTAACCATGACATATATGGCAGTAAACTAGTTCAAATAATTGCCAATTATATATAAGATAAAAACCCTGACTCATAAAATTGTTAAAACTTTCAAGTCTGACTGATCATATTTGTCTAAGATAATTCTTGGCTTGATACGATAAAACAATATTGCAACACCCAGAATTCTTTGTGTAACACCATACTCAGTGATAAGGGTCAATTTGGTCGGTCGATCATTGGTGCGACCCGTAGGCTCGTGAGGAATTGTCCGCTTTGAACAATGGGCGTACCAGTACGATTGTGTCCTTTCGGAGCATGGTTAAAGTTATCTTTAACCATGACATATATGATAGTAAACTAGTTTAAATAATTGCCAATTACATATAAGATAAAAACCCTGACTCATAAAATTGTTAAAACCTTCGAGTAAACTAACATGTCTCTTGAAGGTGACTAGTTACTCGCAGATCATATTTGTCTAAGATAATTCTTGGCTTGACATAATAAAACAATACTGCAATACATAATAAAACAATACTGCAATACCCAGAATTCTTTGTGTAACACTATACTCAGTGATAAGGGACAATTTGGTCGGCCGGCCATTGGTGCAGCCTGTAGGCTCATGAGGAATTATCCGCTTTGGACGATGGGCGTACCC